CTTGTAGATAACTAATTAAATGAAATGGTTACTATATAAAATTAAATTTGAGAATATATGTTATTAATAGTAAAACAGAAAATAGATGGAAGTGATATGTTAAATTAGATTAATTTGGAGAGGCAAATAATGATATTGTCGGTATATTAAGAATAGATTAAAATTAAACAGGAGAATATGGAATGAATATAAGATGACTGAAATGTAAAATGAAAATATGATGTAAAATGAACTATGTACAATAGAAGGTGTAAAGGAGGAAAAACCTGGACAACACTTTGTTTATAAAAGAAGTTAAAATATGTAACAAAAAATTAAAAAAAACTTTATTTGCAAAAGAAAATAATGTTAAGTATTAATTAGTAGTGGGTAAAATGAGACACAAGAGGAATGTTAGTTCGGTCTTCACAATGAAAAATGGGCAACAGGTTCTAAGACTAGCTGCCTTGCAGAATTTAGAAACTTCCGTAATATCAAATTTTCCTTTCTTTTACTAAGGTAGTATAGACACTATTGTTCCATAGGCTTTTGTGCCTATGAAGCAGACCGCAGGAAGGAATGGAGAGAAGTCAGCTGAAACACCCGTAGTTTTGCACGTTAGGTAGGATGTCCATAATATCGTGTTTCTTCTAAGCATGAATGAAATGTTATTCTGTAGCTCATAAGAACTATGATTACAGCCAGATGTGCTATTCCTTTGAAGGCAGTTGAATTTATACAGAAGATTATACTCTGTGTCTCTTCCAGAGGTACCGCTTCTACTTGACAGGAATGTGGAAGGCAGGCTGCAAAGAAGTTGCTAAATATACATACTCAGCACTTGAAGAAATTCTCAGGGAACCTCAAATCCCAGCTGATTCCAAGAAAGCCAAGGGACTAGGGATCTGTCAGCCTCTTCCTGTTCCTCAGAGCAATTGGTGTCAAGGCATGCCCGCTGGTGCGACGGATTACTGGTGAGTGTCATTTGCAACAGTGCAATGCAGATGAAGTGCTTGCCTTGCAAGGGAGAGAGTGTCAGGATTCTGAATCATATATTTTGCACATGGGTTACGGTTGAATAGAATTACTAGTCTCTTCATCTCCATTCATTTTCCTCACTTCTGGTATTACCTGCCCAACTGGACAAACTTCCTCCTCTGCCCCAACACATCAAGCTTTTTGCTTGTGTAGCCTTTTGTAGAGGTATCCACAAATCAGACAGCTTCATCAGAAACGTATGGGAATGAATGCACACTGTATTTACAAAAGGGGCAGCACTTGCATTACAATGTCACAATGCTCATTTTATCATTTTCCTCTCTTCCCCTCTCTTCATGTCCATGCTTTCAAAAATGAGAAAACATTGCATAACAGAGGTTCCTTCAGGCCAATCCCTGAACCATTACAGTGCAGTGTCTCTGTTTCCCCCAGCCCCCCCAAAAAACCCAGTGGTGTGATGGATAACAACATGTTACTACTATTATGCTAGAGGCTCAAATCAAGTCACTGATTTTGTGAGGGAAACGGGAATGTATGGTTCAGAGTGGGATGTGGAATAAATTACTTTAGTTGAATAGCGACCATTACTTTTGACAGCCAATTACTTTTGACATGTTTTGATCCATCAACCCCAAATATCTCAATCCCAGACATTATTACTATAAAACAAAGTGTACATGCACAGAGAAGAGATTGGTAGAAAAGCATTAATGTATATACGACAAGAAATGATGGAAAGGAACTAAAATTTTTCATCCTCTCTTGTTTTTTTCTATCTTCAATTGCTTTTGTATGTTTTCTCCCTGCCATTTCCTTTCTGATCATGGAACAGGGTTGAAAAGATTATTTGAGACAATGGTTTCATAAGGCAGTTCAATTGCCCATTACTCCCGCATTACTTTTAAGCTATACACTCAGTATACATGCATATTCAAGCTAGAAGTTTTAACCTATGGCTTGTGTATATCTCAAGCCAAGCCAAAAATAATCCAACCGTATTTTGGTTAAGTCTTACATATGTACCATGCAAAAACTGTATGCCACTTTAGCATCGTTAGAATTCTAAACATAATTTAGGATTATTTTTATTTATTTTACTTTTTTACATTATTGTATTTTATACTATTTAATTCATTCAAAAGAAAAAAATAGCATGCTAGATCACAATCAAAGTAAAATCAACTGCTTTGAAATTGACCAGGGCCATACTTGCAAATCCTGTGTTCGAACCTATTGACCCAACCCAATGAAAACTCTGTTTCATTTTTTATATGTTGTAGTTACCTCACTTTTAATAACCATACTTTGCTCTGGAAGGTAGGGAAATGCCCAATCAGTGGAAGTTCTCTGCAGCATGCTGAGGAGACGTAACCTTCTCACCACACTTCTAATTGCTTTGCCATGGGGTCTTCTACTAACTTTGTGGCATCAGTATCCAACCACCCGCTATCTGAGCCTTCTAAGAAGTAAGTATATAAATCCTGATTTACAAAACTTTCTTTCATAGCAAACCTTTTGCAAAAAAAAGTACTCAGTTAGATAAAAATCCAGGTATTTTAAAAATAGTGTTTATACAATTCTCTAAAGCTTAAGACTTCATTGAGTCAGATGCAAGACATAGGTGATTTGTGTTGGAGGTATGAATTCAGGAACTTTTGTTAGAAAATATGCTCTGAACATAACCAGAGTGTTGAAAGAATACTGAGTAATTAAGAAGTAGAATATCCAATTTTTAAAAAATACCCATAAGTTCATCTAGGATGTAGAGATAGCCCAGTTATAAGTAAATATTAACAGACATTCATTGTATTTATATAAAAAGCTAGATTTATTAAGAGGTACGTGAAAGGAAAAAATGCATGCTTTTATCTAAATTACATCTTGAAAACAGGGAAAGTTGTGATAAAGTCTGAAGCACCAAACAGAAGAAAATTTCTTATCTCTTAACAGCAGAGATTCTTGACAAACAACATAGATATATTTTTTCTCATCTATTTCTTGCCCTTTGCCCTTGTGATAAAATAGACTTATAAGGTCCTTGTTGGGTACAGACAACTCTTTTTGTTGTCCGTAAACAGTCACTAGGGCCCAACTTGTTTGAGTCCGTATTGGAGTTTTATGAGAACATATTATAAATAGCCCAGAGTAATTTAGAATTAAACAGTGCCTAAATTGTATTAAACAGTCAGTTGCAAAGAGATGGTGCCATTTTCAGCAGTTTGCAATCACTTAAATCTTGGATGGATGGATAGATGGATGGATGGATGGATGGATGGATGGATGGATGGATGGATGGATGGATGGATGGAAGAATGGATGGATGACAGACAGACAGACCAGAAAGACTGACTGACTGGCTGACTGACTTTCCTGGTTCCCAGACTAATTAATAGTTTGCAATTTCCTACCTGTATTTGCTCTAAGTACTATCTAGACCTAACTTTTCTAACATCAGTCAAGTTTAGCTAGACTCAGGTTTAAATCACTATTAATCTGTAATATAAAGCTAAGGTAAGGCATCTTTTTTTTTGATCATGTGTATCTCATGTTCACTGATAATTCATTGGCAGTTTATACTAATCAATGTTTTCATTTCCTCAGAGGCTCTTTTGTTCTTTGATACTAGACTATTATTTACTTTCCATTCTACAAGCAAGTCTCCATTTAAATGACTGTTCCATTTCTCAGCCATTTGCACAAGCTGAGTTCCATGTAGGTTAGCTGGCTCTTTTGCACATCCACAAACAGCTAACTGCATGTAGTCCATTACTAATACACTGTATAGGCTGCAATCCAAGCTGCAATACAAATATATTTTAATCTCTAATTTTTCTACAGCAGAAAAATACACAGCCAACACCTAAAACTAACTTTTAGTTAGATTCCCTTCCCCTCATTCTATCCAACATAGAGCACAGTGTGGGTGTTTTGCTTTAAAAGGTGAAAGCAGGAAAAATCTTAGGACCTAAGAAGTAACTAAATTACAATTATAAAGGTAGCAAGATCGCCCACAGCTGCAGGGGGGGGGGGGCAAAGAATTTATGGGTTGCATAATGGCAACACTAATAGGTTATAACTCATCAGTGTTCAGAATATCTTCCTCCCCTAGACAACAGTCAGTGTGACCTCACAGTGCACCCACTGAAAGAAAATTAAGCACTCTCCTGGATATTGCTTCCATGATTCATAGTTGCAAACTCTTAAGGATATTGCTATTACAATAAATGTAGATTTGATGCAAACCCTATTCTTACTTTTTGGGCTTTTCTTTTTTCTCTTTAGTTTTTCCTTTATATATATATATTTAAAAGACGGTCCAAGATCGGGAAATAGAATGGCATTTTTAAATCAGAAACAGATGATATAAACTCAGAGAAGTGCTTTGATGGAAGGCTTATGCTGTATTATCTTTTTTTACCCCTTTTGCCTTAGAGGAAACAGATGAAAATGGCACAGCTAAGTCACTCTTCAATGGGACATCTCTAGTGAGGGAGGATGGGCTTGCATCATGCACTCGGCAGCCAGCCATTGGGACAGCTCCCAAAATAATCCGGAATTATGTGTACTCCAGGCCTCCTCCATGGTCAGACACATTGCCTGCCATATTTGTGATCACACCTACCTACACTCGACCAGTACAGAAGGCTGAGCTGACCCGACTGGCGAATACTTTCCTTCATGTACAGAACCTCCACTGGGTAGTGGTGGAAGACTCTCCTAGAAGAACCATCCTGGTGTCCAATCTACTGGAGAAAGCAGGGATTCATTTTACTCACCTGAATATCGAGACTCCTAAGAGTCTGAAAGTAGGTTTGTCCTGGATTCCATCTCACACCCCCAGGGGCACATTCCAGAGGAACCTGGGACTGCATTGGCTTAGGGAAAGCTTTAGCACCACACCAGTACCTGAAGGTGTAGTATACTTTGCAGATGATGATAACACCTATAGCCTGGAGCTATTTGAAGAGGTAAGCTATTCAAAGTTTTGATGGCTTCACTTTTGACCCATGATTTAGGCCCGTGATGGTGGAACTATGGCACACGTGCCACAGGTGGCATGCGGAGCCCTCTCTGCAGGCACACGAGCCGTCACCCAGCTCAGGTCCACCACACATGCGCATGCGCCTCTTTCCCACCAGCTGATTTTTGGGTCTCTGTCGTGCATGGATATGTGCGTGTATGCATGGGGGGAGTGTGGGCACACATGCATGCATAGTGGTGGAGGAGAACAGAGGTGTGAGGTGTGCCCCACATGCCCTGTTTTTTATTTTAGGAGGCTTCAGGGAGGCCTGCTAGACCCAAAATGGACCACAGGGGGTTCATGTGCATCTGCAGGGGTGATAAGCATGTGCAGGGGATGGGGGAGCATGGGGTGGGACACATTGAATTTTGGTTGTGGGCACATGCACACATGCTGTCGCACGCAAACAGCTGATTTCGGCATACAAGGATAAAAAGGTTAGCCATCACTGATTTAGGCAGATTAATGATTACATTTTCCATCCTTCATTCTTTTGATATACAAAGGGAGGTGTACTGTAGGTTAGAGAGTCATAGGGAGGTATATCAAGGTCAGTGGAAATGCTCATCCTTTGCATATAAAATATCACCATTTCAATCAATTTCTGGTATTTCACATTAAGGTTGGGAAAGTTTCTCAGTGAAACCCTGACTCGCTATTGCGCTAAATGTAAATTAGCCCTTTCCAATCAGGTGTCCTATATTTGTGCTGGACCACAATTGCCAGAAATCCCAATCAATATGATATCAGATGAGTGAAGATGAAATAAGTCCATAGATGATTGATTAACTGCCAGTACAACCTACCAGTAATTATAATGAGGGTTGAGGTTATAGCTATCGTTCTGAAATATGGACAGGAGTATTTAAAACCACACCTGAGCCTGTTCCTACATATCTCGTATCTATGTAGAAAATGCAGACAGAACTCCTTCAAGAAAAGACCTTCAGAAGGGCACAGCAGAAAGTAAGGCAGAAAGTTTGGCATGGAAAGGTAAAAGTAAAAAAGAAAATAATAAACGTGATTATATGTAACTACTGCAAGGATACATATAGAAAAAGTTGGCTAAATCCCAAGAAGGGTCTCACAGTATATAATAAGAAGAAGAGAAGGACTTGTGTATTCATGTATTCTTGTTTTCTTTCTGACAAGCAGATGCGCTACACAAAGAAGGTATCTGTCTGGCCAGTTGCTTTTGTTGGTGGTCTCCGGTATGAATCCCCCAAAGTGAGTCCAGCAGGCAAAGTTGTAGGTTGGAAGACTGTGTTTGATCCCAACCGGCCTTTTGCCATCGACATGGCTGGCTTTGCCATCAGCATAAAACTGATTTTGGAGAAACCACAGGCCAGTTTCAAGTTGGATGGAGTGAAAGGAGGCTACCAAGAAACTAGTTTATTAAAGGATCTGGTGACAATGGATGGACTGGAGCCTAAAGCTGCCAACTGCACAAAGGTTAGCGAAGTTGGGGGAGAAATATCACACTAATTTCCTCCACCCAGTAGATCATTGCTCCCATGCTTATGTTGTCAATTATGTACATTATAATTACATTTATGATAATTATATAAGAATAATTACATGCACATACTTAATGTCTAGATCTAGATATCTTAAAACATTGGAGCTAAAGTGTTATATAAACAGCTATTACAATGCAAATGGGCAATGAAGAAAGAGATTTAGCATGTTAGTCCACATGCAATTAAAACATAAAACACATACAAAAACATATACTTTAATACAGAGGTGGTTTCCTGTCAGCATTACTACCAGTTCGCCGTGCAAAAATTATGCGTGCATGCACTCGCTTTATTCATGTGCATGTGCTCATTTGCACCTAAAAAGGTCTGTGCATGCACACAACATTAAAAAGGGGGGGGAAATACATTTTTTCAATGATGTTCTGTGAATGCGCAGAACAGAAAATCAAGATGGCGGCAACAAGGATAGAACCGGTTCGGGCACATGTTCGCCGAAATTACTACATACTCTGCTGAACAGGTCCGAACTGGTAGGAACCCATCTCTGCTTTAATACAGGGATATGAAAACAGATATCCAAACGACTTTTCTGAATGTATTGGCTGCCATCTAAAGGTCATATAAGAGTCAGTTTTGGGTACTGGTTAAGGCCAGCAGACCATCAATTCTAGTCCCACTTTAGGCATAAATATAGCCGGGTGACCTTTGACCAGACATTTCCCACTCAGTCCTAAGAAGTTTTTCAATTCTGAAAAGCTTTGCCAAAAAAAACTACGGGAATTTTTCCAGGCACTTTCTGAATAAAGACAATAGTATGGAAGGGGAAGGGGAGAATGATGCTGAATATTTTTGCAGCCCACACTTGGTTGCCCTTCTATGAAAACATTGGGAGATTTTTTTAAAAAGATAGGTAGTTATACAGGTGATCAATCATTGCAGTAGAAATACTGTATTCTAGATTCAAAACAAATATCTTTCTGTACATTTTTAAATTTTAAATTGGCTTTTAATGCAAATGACACATACGTAGTTAGGAACCAGCATGAAGCTATCTGCCCAGTTTCCACACTTCTCCTTATCCCCATTTGTGCTTCTTATCCTCTATCTCAATTAGCCATTCTTACCGATTTTGAATGTAATCTACTGTAGACACATTTCCCTCCTCCTTGTTCAATTTATTCCCAGCATTTGTGGGAATAAATATTTTGTTGTTTTTATAGGATACTGCTGTATCTATAATGAGTCTAAAAATAAACCAGGTAAGTGTGTGATTATGTAAATATACTCTTCCAAGACGACTTGCAATTTCTTTTGAGTCCTATCTAGAGATTTGATATGCATAAACGTATGTGTACTTATTCACTAGACAGGTTTGCTGATACCTATTATATGTTGTTGTATAAATTTAATATCTAAACTTTAATATTTAATATTAAATTTCCTTGATAGGTTTTGGTCTGGCACACAAGGACTGAAAGGCCAACACTAGTTAATGAAGGCAAACGTGGATTCACAGACCTAAGGGTAGAAGTGTAGATAACTTGTTTTTTTGCTGTAAGTATAAGATTTTTGCTGTCTGAAGGTTTTCCTATAATTTGCAAGTAGCTCTTTAAACATCTTCAATGTAGGATTCATTTAATATGCATCAGGATGGGTTCTTGGATACATGTATTAATGGTTTAGTGCAGTGGTGGATTCAAAAAATATTACTACCGGTTCTGTGAGTGTGGCGTGACTTGGTGGGCAGGCAAGGAAAGGATAGTGCAAAATCCACATTCCCTCCCCACTCCTGTGGGAAGAATACTGTAAAATCTCCCTTCCCTTCCCACCCCTCCAGGGGAAGGATACTGCAAAATTTCCATTCCCTTCCCATACCACTCCAGGGCAGGGATACTGTAAAATCTCCATTTTCACCCCACTGCAGGGCAAGGATACTGTAAAATCTCCATTTCCACCCCACTCCAGGGCAAGGATATTATAAAATCTCCATTTCCACTCAAGGGCAAAGATATTGTAAAATCCCAATTCCCTCTCCACCCCACTAATCTGCTTTCCAGATCCGTTCTCCTATGCAGGGCAACAGAAAAAAACCCAGCTGATCAGCTGGGATCTGATCAGCTGGGACTCAGGAAGCAGCGCATAGATAGGAGTGGAGCCAGCCAGGGGTAGTATTTGCCAGTTCTCTGAACTACTCAAAATTTCCGCTACCAGTTTACCAGAACTGGCTGAATACCACCTCTGGCTTACTGTCTCAAATTATCAATCCTGGTCTGCCTGTGATGTTATATGAAATGCTATCAAAATGTACTTTTGAGTCCCACTCATAAAGTCAGAATTCAGGCCCTGGCATGGGGTTCCTTGATTAGGGTACTGTTTTCTGACTGATTATTTGCCTGGTGCTAATACCTGCTTATCTGGATCTAGGCTTTTGGAGAAGATGTTTTCTAGCCTTTCTGTTTCCTTCTTAGCTTTTTTATTGCTTCTTTTATTGTTTCTATGTGTTTATTGATTTGTCTGAATGTCAAGCTTCCAGGAATTCCCTAGTAATTTTGAACTTATCTTTGTCTAAGAGTTACCAAGAGTCCTCAGACTGCAGCAGATATAAATGCAATAAACAAATAGATTAAGCAAGCAGCTATCATCAATCATTTATTTTCTTTAAAAAATTTAAGTGAGTTATGTGGAAGCTAGGGGCTATCTAGAAAATAAAAATTAGCCCCTACCTTACTTCATTTCACATATGTTCACATTTTAATAGCTATTAATAAAATATAATGTTTTAAAAATTGTATAATTTGGGGCGTGGAGCCTGCTAGGCATTCAGGAGACCTCATTTGGAGATCTAGTGTTTTTCCCATCATCAAGTTGTCTAAAACATACATTAAAATACATTGAAGAGTACCAAAATACCCTGAAGTACATTATTAATCTTGTTCCTCAGTTCACAGCTTGTTGCTATATGCTTTTCTTCAATTTTATAATAAGTCCTATGAATTAAAAAAATGAATGTCTTTTTTTCTTCTCAGTGTTTTTCCTGCAAGTGCAGAGCCCATTGGTTGCAACATGAATTGACAGGCTCATTGCCTTAGCCTGGCATCATGGTCTCTGAGAGAGACAGACAGACAGACAGACAGACCGACAGACAGAGTTTGGCCCCAAATCAGCTGGCTTTTATGTCTAAGACAGTATTAAAACTCACAGTTTCCTGGTTTTTAGCCACTACACCAAAATGGCTAATAAGAGATACTTAAAATGTTAGTTAATGTAGAGTCAGAATAGTTTCCCATCATAGATCATTCCTTGGTTAATCGAGCTCAAAGTTTGTGTTACCCAGTTTTTCTTCTGGCTCTTTCTATCCCCTAACACAAACAATCAATTTAGGGATCCTGAAATCAAAAGAGGCATTGTTGGATTTAATTTAATAGTTAAACATTCCTAAAATCAAGAATTTTAAACCACTTACTTCTAACAAGACAACACAAGTGCCTTTTGTTTTCCAGAATATGAGATTTATTTTTTATTTCCTTTAAAAAAAAATAATTAAAAGAGGATTTGGGGTGGGTGGGAAATCCCTGTATTTCAGTCTTTGAAAACTGATCTGATAAAGCTCTGTTAATCTATATATTGCCAGGTTTGTTCTTCTTGGACAGTGTCATTTCTTGATGGAAGTAATTGATTATGAAGCTGAGCCTGACTCAGCACAATCTCAATGTTACAAAAAAGATATATTGCAAGCTTTAAGAATAACTTTAAAAGATCCAAGGAGAAGTATTGGCTGGCAGTTCTAAAAACTAAGATGGCTCTCTGTCAAGATTTCAGGGATTGAGGCTTCAGCTCTAGTTAATTATAGTAGGTATTGGTAATGCAATATTCTAATTCTGTGCAAAATAAAAATGGGCTGCATTCATCTGTTCAGCATGAGTTTAGAATAAAGAACGAAAGCAGCTAAAATAATCCATATTAGATGCCAAACGTGGAACATATCAGATAGTCTTTTATCAAATGAAACTACTCAATCATTAAGCCCAGAATTATTTAATTAACATAGCTAACAATGACTCTCTGGTTGAATGTGTACTTATTACCTGTTGTTTTTAAATGCAATGTTAAAAAACGTATCTGAATTGCCTACATAGAAACCACTTCCTGGTCTATTGAGTTTTGGCTCTTCCATGAAGAAATTTGTTATGAATTTAATTCCTTTCCTAAGACTAAGTAGACAAAAGTAAGAGAATCTGCTACCTCTCAATATACTAAGCTTTACACATGAAGAAGGGAACACTAAATTTCTACTACTGCAGTGGTGGGTTCCGGATCCTGGTGCAACCGGTACAGTGCAACGGGGCTGGCCGTCCATCACATGCACATGCGCATGCGTACTTACTGCCCGCAATGCTCTGCGACACTCCAGTTGCTTGGCGGAGAGTCACAGAGGTGCCATATGTTCCGTGCGCGTAAGCCCTGACCGGCTCAAATAGAGGTAAGGAGGGCGGGCGGGTGGATTCTCCGGAGCACCATACCAGAACAGTACCTGGTGCTCCCAGCAGGCACCAGTAGACCCGTACCGGGGCGTACCGGTTGTATCCCATCACTGTACTACCGGTAGCAGATATATGTTACATATGATATATGTAACATCTCATTTGGTCCTGATTCAACTCAATGTCTTTGTGACTTGAAGTTATTTGAGATGTAATATGTAGATTGAAATACTTATCCATATTTATTTATTTCATTAGTTTTACATTTAATTCCCCCCAAATCAAAATTCCAAGGCTCTTCTATAGATAAACTAGTTCAAAAATATTACAATATAATGGTGGAACAGGGGAATTTTTAAAATTGATCAGCTTTAAGTTTGACTGTTTTTCTTAAACTAGAAGTGGCACATAAGACTGTTCAATATTATCTATCAGATTGATGAGCACAGAAATTGGATGGATGATTTTTCCCTCCCATGGTACCATTTGTCAAGAAGAAAACTCCCCAGAGTAATGAGAGTTGGCACCACTTCTAAAAAAGCTCAGTGGAAGAATTCCTTCATTATGTTTTTACTTGTACTATCATCTCTCTTCAGCAGTTTGAAGCCAACATGACTACAGACTGCTAGGAAGGGGATTATAGAGTAAAAACAGGACATTCACTCTTGGCACGTGATTACTTCATACCTTAACAAATGCAAAAAAAAAATAAATGCAAAAACACCAGACATCAGCAATGCATATTTCTCTAGGAAGTCTCCTTACCATTAAAAGAATTTGTAAAAACAAAGTCTCATTAATCAAATGAGAAAAAAGTAGAATAGGTTTTCTGCCTGATACCACATAAAACAAATTGGATTATTAGCAGCTGTCCTTTGAGGCTGTTTTCCCAGCACCTAAGCACTGCATAGATACTTTCTGGGAAATCTCAGTTTTTTGCTTGCCTGAGGGGAAGAAA